TGGTAAGAGGGGCACAGACACAGAACAGGCTGGCCCCTCACCCATGCATGGTGGATAAATTTTGGGGAGGGATATCTTGGGAGCAAGGAGTCCCAGACCCACACCAGGCCCCCCAGCCGAGGGTTCCAGTGCCAGGAAGATAAGTCCCCAGAACTTCTGGCTGCAAAAACCATCAGGGATTGAGTCAGTGGAAGAAATGGCTAGAGCCCCAAAAAGTTCCTCTTAAAGAACCCACACACTGAACCTTCTCAGACTCACTCCCTCTGAGCTTTGGGTCAGCAGCTTGAAAGGCACCAGCAGTATACAGGGAGAAACGGAAATGTCTGGCATCAAGGCCAGCAGAGGCTATTGTCCCTTTTAAAAACCCTCCCTTCACAGAGCCAGCAGAGGCTGGTGTCATATCTGAAACTCCATCAACCTGACTAACACTGTTTGACCTGCCTTGGAGATCCCCAGAGGCTCTGCCCCACCCAATTTACAGGCTCACCGAAGCTGCTTTTCTATGTGAATGGCTGGGCTGGGCTCACGCTTCACAACTTCTTAAATCCTCTCAAACAAACAACAGCCAGCCTCAGTGAGCCCCAGGCCTAGCACTAGCAGCAGCCAGCCTAGAGTCACAGCTTGGCTTTGCCTGGGAATCTCCAAGCCCAGCACAAGTAGCAACCATCTCAAATTGCTTTATAGAGCAGGCAGGGTAGCCCTTGGCAAAACACAGGTGGGGGCTGACCTTGGCCTGTACCATCCAGGAAACCCCGGGACAAGTGCACCCAGTGGACAGCTACAGACCATGCAGGAGCACCACCACCCTGCCCCTGCACAGCTGATCTTTCACAGAAGGCAGGGGTTGGGGATAAAGGGTCATAGCCAGTCCTTGCAGCTGATTGGCCTGAGTAAATCCCTCCCATCGATCTGCTAACAGCAACCAAGGCTCAACTACATTGTGTAAAGCACAGTATAGGAAATGGAGTTGCCAAAGAACATATGCATGACCCATATACATGAACAATGGTGGGGGTATTGCTTAAGGGAGTATGGGGTGCTGGGTAGAGGGGGCAAAGGGCGAAAATTAGGATGACTGTAATAACATAATACATAAAATATAATTTAAAAAAAGACAATCAATGGCAATAACATTTATATATAAAGGGGTGGGCAAAAGCAAGCTTCCAGTTGTGAGTATGCAAAACCACACAACAGCTGCAAACCTATTTTTGCCCACCACATAAGTATATATCCCCCAAATTTAACATCAGATCCATAATTTACAAACAAAATATGCAACCTATTCTGTATCTTAATAGGAATTACTGTTAACCCATAAATAACACAGTTTGAACTGTGTTATTTATGGTATACTTACATGTGGATTTTTTTAAAAACATACTGTAAATGCATTTTCACTTCATTATAATTTCCTAAACACTTTTTTTGTAGCTCACTTTATTGTAAGAATACAGTGTATAATAAATATAACATACAAAATATTTGTTAATTAACTATGTTATCGGTAAGACTTCCAACAATAGGCTATTAATAGTCCCGTTTTAGGGGTGTAAAAAGTCATGTACAGATTTTCCACTGCACAGGGATCAGAATCCCTAACCCCCAATGTTGTTCAAGTGTCAACTGTACACAGATGGCATTAAATAACAGAGTGAAAAAAATAATTTTTGCTTCAATTTTCTTCTAATCTTTCCTTACATCAAGAATAAAGCCCTGGTTGGTGTGGCTCAGTGGACTGAGTGCTGACCTGCAAACCAAAGGGTCGCTGGTTCGATTCCCACTCAGGGCACATGCCTGGGTTGCAGGCCAGGTCCCCAGCTGGGGATGTACAAGAGGCAATCACACATTGATGTTTCTCTTTCTCTCTCCCTTCCCCTCTCTCTAAAAACATAAATAATTTTTTTTTTAAAAAGAATAAAGTCTTAGTTTGGTGGTAATATGATTTTAACACCTCATAAATATTTCCTAACTTCCCCTTAATAGAAAGTGGGTCTGGATTCGCTGGCTTTCATGAGCAACAGTATGTAGCTCAAATAATATCGTTTATACCAGTCCGTCTCAAACACTTGGTTTTGGGTTTCCTTAATACTATTAAAAATTATTCAGGACGCCGAAGAAAATATATAGAGAGAGAGGGAGAGAGAGAAGGAGGGAGGGATGGAGGGAGGGGGGGGGAGAGAGAGATCTTTGATATGTTTAATGTTAATTAAACATAAGAAAACTATTGAAGAATTATTTAATTTAAAAAACCCATTGCATGATAATGTATTTTCTTATGAAAAATATATTATCAAGAAGAAACCTAAAAAAGGTAAAAAAATAGTACTGATTTAGGTTTTTTTCAAACCCCTTTAATGTTAAACAGGTAGCACTAGATAGAAAATGGAAAATGATAAAAAATAGAAAACAGCAAAATTTTTATATTTGCTTATGCCTTCCATCATTTACAATGTGTTGTTTGGTTGAAGTATATGAAGAAATCCAGGTTCACAATGATATGAACTTGGAAAAGGAAGAATTTTAATGGCCTTTTTATATGCTAGTGTTTATTCTTTTTTTGCTACTACAGCAAAACTGAACAAGAGATAGTTTCTTAAAAGTTTGTTGCAATGCGGAATTTGAAACTCTACCAGTGAACTTCTTACACCCTATAAACTTGTAAGAGAATGTACTATTTTGAAAATAGCTTTGATCTTGCAGATTCCCTGAAGAGGTCTCACAGAACCCTCTTCCACCCCCACCCCTCAGGCTTCCGTGTACTACATGTCTAGAACCAGTGGCTTACACAGCACTCTACTTAAGCCAAGGGATGTTGGTTTTCCATTCATAAAATAAAAAACAGATTTTTAAAGGAAACTTCAGTTTAAATATATTTAAGGAAATGTATGAAATAATAGAGGTTAAGTAGTTACAGAAAAAAAAAATCAAAGAGTTTGGGAAACAATAAACCGGTGCATTTCTACAAACCTCCCATCCACTCTATTTTATAAAGGGGGAAACTCCTTTAGCTCTTCTACTGGCTGGCTCCTCCTAACAATATCTTGGCTTTTTATGTCAGCTCTTCAGAGATGGTCCCCAAATAACCCACTTAAGGAGGCTTTATTATAGATTTCTCTAAATCAATCTTATTACATGGTTGGAATATTTTAATGTCATGATTGATGCCATAAAACAAATCTATATCAGTAACAAAGGAGTGCATCAATGGAGGTTACTGATAGCAATAACAAGTATCACTAATTGGAGTATATAATTCCTTTTCTACTCGATAAAGCATTAGGGTAGTAGAAAAATAAGTGGTGATTATCTACTTTTATTCTTTTTTTTTCTTTTAAGATTTTATTTATTTATTTTTAGAGAGTGGAAGGGAGAAAGAGAGGAAAAGAAACATCGATGTGTGGTTGCATCTCATACGCCCCCTACCGGGGACCTGGCCTGCAACCCAAGCATGTGCCCTGCACTGGGAATCAAACAGGCGACTGTTCGGTTCGCATGCTAGCACTCAATCCACTGAGCCGCACCAGCCAAGGGCTCTACTTTTATTCTTAACCCAGTCCTTATAACATAATGATCTGGTTTAATTAATCAGAAGGCTATCATTGGTCAGCACACAGACATCTTGTGAACTGAAAAAATTCAAACAAAGCAAACAATGAACTGTATTTCTGGGTCAGCTTCCTCATATGTAAAGGTAAAGGCGTCATTTAAGTGATACCTGTTCCAAATCTGAAATTCAAGTAACTACACAATCTAGAATCCTACAGTAAGGCTTTAAAAACTGTTCATTTTGTCCCTGGTGGGGTAGCTCAGTTGGTTAAAGTGTTGTCCCGATATGTAAGATTGTGACTTTGATTCCTGGTCAGTGCACATGCAAAAATAAAACAATGAATATATAAATAAGTGGAACAACAAACTGATGTTTCTCTTCCTCCTTCTCTAAAATTAAAAAAAAAAAGTTTGTCATAAATTTTTGAATGACAAAATAATTTATAGGTGAATTCATTTTAGAAAGGTTTTATGTGTGAAATATCAAATTTATCCATATACTAATTAAAATATTTGTAAATTTAAAGTCACTATATCAATACTTAGTTTTGTTAGGATATTAATCATTTGCTCTAATATTAAAACTGGATATTTATGACACCTTCTTCCTTTGCTGCATAGGTTATCAGTTTTCCATCTTACCATGCAACTGATAACACTTAGCATTGAAATACTTTGTGCCATGAAAGATAAATGCTAAATGTTTGATTAATAAAGACTATGACACGGATTGAAACATACAAAACCATCACTTTTCCAGGTCGAAACTGGTGGCATGCAGGAATGTACAATCTAATTACTTAGGTGGCAGATTAAAGGCCAATGCTAGGAAACTACAGTTAAGAAATTTTTTTCTTTTATATTTTATAAAATAACCGTAAGGTCCTTCTGCAGTAATATCAGTCCACTCAAATATTGATTTCCTATTAAGTGGAAATATTGTACAAAGTACAGTATGTTATAACCATAAAATTCTTCTGCAATACGTACTATTAATCCACTCAAATATTAATTTTCAATTAAGTGGTGATATTATACAAAGAACTCTAGGATTTACAAATGCTACTAAATAGGAATCCTGCCCTTCAATAAGTTCGCATTCTAATATGCAAAATGACGAAGAGTATATAGAGTAGAAAGAGAAGCATTACAAGATATTGGGGTTGAATACAAGATTACTACCTCTTCAAGGAAAGTGTGCCCTTTGAGACAAGGTAAAGCGATTGGGGCGCGGAGCACTAATTTATAATTTATGAACGAAGGTTTACGGTTTAACTCCTCCCAAAGATAACAAAGGCCTTTAAGACAGTCATCTTCACATCTCACTCAGGTAGGCACCTCTGATAGTGGGAGCGGAGAGTGGGCAACGCCAGGTCAGATCTCTGCCTGGCTAGGTCACCAGGCAGCCCATCTCAGGCCTGCGAGGGAGGCTTATCGAGGCTTTGCCTCACCTGACAGTCCTGACGACGAAGTACACCAGCACCACGCCGCTCACCACCATCAATACGGTCAGGGCCCGCTGGGTCATGGGCTTCTCGCCGGAGCTGGTGCTCCCAGCGCTACCCATCGGGCCTTCTGCCCCCGCCTTCCCTGCTAGGTTATCTGCCGCAGGCACCGCCCCGGGGCTGCTGCCATTGCCGCCCTCGGCGCTCCGCGGGGCCGCGGCTTCGGCCCGAGCGCGGCCCGGAGAGCGAACGGCAGTGGGGCCAGGCGGAAGCGGGGACAGGGTCCGCAGCCCACGGTCGCGAGGGCCGGAGTCCGGAGCGGCCTCGGCCGCCTGCAGCAGTACCGCTAAAGGCCCTCGTAGCCCTGGTAGGAGTAGCAACAGCAAGAGGGCGGAGGCCAGCAGGCGGCTGGAACAGCTGCCGCAGTGCAGGGCCTTCATCGTCCCCGGACCAGCCTCTCACCACGCCGGAGCCGCCGGGCCCGCCGTCCCGGCTGCAGGAGGGACCATGGGCGCGATAGGGAACGAGGGAGAAGTGAACAAATCCCGGGAAGAGACCCGGCCGCGGCAGGTGGCAGAGACGACAGCAGTTGCAGGGGCGGCAGCGGCCGAGAAACCGGAAGTTCGTACATCTCTGTAGCCACTGCTACTACGGACGCTTTCGGTTGCTAACATGTAGTGGCAGGCGCGTGCAGTGACGTCAGGGCGCGGTACCTTTAGTGCACGTGCCCAGCCAGAAGGAGAGGGGTCGAGGTCTATGAATAGGTCATAAGTAAAAAAAAAGGTAAGCAAAAAAAGAGTAGTGTAAAATGTTCAGCAACTCTTTGCGTAAGGAAACCATGAGAGATAGCGAGCTCATAATTTGGGTTCCTTGGTGCAAAACTGCAGCCAGCCAGCCAATCAATGATTAAGACAGGCTTGACATTCCTCTAAGCTCAGGTACGAATTTTAGACAAGTTTCGTCCTGTTTTATAGGATATGACCTTCCTTTCCTGAGAGCATTTACTTTATAAAACTTCTAATCATAAACTCATTCTCTGCTCTTTTGAGATTTAAACCTTTTAAAAACTTTTTTGTGGGTCTTACAACCCAGGACTCTTAAGGATGAGAGAGCCATCCTTTTGAAATTCGGTCAACAAAGGAGCTAGCACTCCTATTTCCAGTTTCTGTGGGAGGCTCCTTGTTCCAAGTTGTAGAACTACCCTCTATTGTGCGCTAAGAGAAAAAAATTAACTTTTCCTTTTAATATGTTAATTTGTAAACACAAGTGCCCTACGATGCTCTCTACCGCAACTCTTAAAATCTCTTCTGGCTCTTTGTTTCTGGGCAGTTGAGCTCAGAGTTCTTATGATAATCTTGAATAATGCCTCTCTTACATGTTTAACTTTGACATCACTAACATGGAATTTTGACTTGAGTTGATACTAACAACAACGGCAACAAAAACCTGACCAGAAGCCAAAGTTAGTATTTGTTACTTTTTTTAAAAAACTTACTCAACAAATTGTTTAGAATTTCTATTTGCTTACCAACGTGCTAAATTATGACTATTGGAGAGGAAACAAATAACGTCTGACATTTGCTGCACTTAGTTTCAAATAGAGATAACAAAATAAACAATTGGATGCATTTTGAATGCTGAAGTATGTGTTATAAATAACAAGTATGGTATCTAAAATAGTTTTTTTTTTTTTTTTTTTTTAAGTACTGTTGTAGGTAGCATGGACAGAATAGTGTCTTGAGCTGCTTAGGAGTAAGAGACTAATGTATTTGCTCCTGAGTGGTAGAATTGTAGCACTAGGCTTCTTAATGCTGGGTTCCAGTGTGAGGAAGATGATTGCTGACACACTCTAATTTTAGCTTTCAGCCTAGCATTTATCAATAAGATGGCTCTTTGGATTTCTCACCTTCCTTATTCACAGGCTTATTCAGAGCCACATGTGGCATAGGGTTGGTATTTGATGCCATTCTCCTCCACCCTTTAGAAAAAGTCCAATATGCAACACATCAAAAAAATTGCAACATGTTTCATTCCTTACAATATCACATTTTACTATAGTGTTCTGTATCTTGATCACTAGCATTATTCTTCTCTAGGGTGTTCAGGCTTAAATTCTTGACATCAGCCTTTCCTGTTGACTTCGCATCTGCAGCAACCCTTGCCAGTAACTGGAACATGCAAAGTGCTAAGTAATTCTGAAATAGCAGACTCAAACTAATGGTTTCAAATGATTAGAGTGTACCATGTTCTAAGTTTCTCCAAGTGTGACTCTCAGCCCCGAGTCAGAATCAGAAATGGGATTAGTTAAGAAAAACGGTTTCTAGGTCTGACTCAGAATTTTGGGGAGTAGGAACATGAACTGTGTATGCATTTTACTTTTTTAAATTGTTTTGTAAAAATTTTACTTATTTATTTTTAGAGAGAGGGGACGGGAGGGAGAAAGAAAGGGAGAGAAACATCAGTGTGTGGTTGCCTCTCGCCCGCCCCCAACTCGGGGCCCGGTCCGCAACACAGGTTTGTGCCCTGATTGGTAATTGAACCAGGGCCCTTTGGTTCTCAGGCCAGCACTCAGTGCACTGAGCCACAACCAGGGCTGTATGCATTTTTCTTACGCTCTCAGGGTAATTTTCATTTACACTAAAGTTTAACATTCTCTTTTCTTTCCCTCACCAACTGCATCCAGATGTTGTCATCTTTTTCACTTCCCTAGTGTCTTTTTTATTAATTAACTCTTTTTCTGTTCCCTGCTTTTGACAAGAAATCATTTTTATATTGTTAGGGCTACCCACTAGTCTGCTTAGCCTCCAGCCCTATGGGCCCTCAATTAAACTCTATACATTACAAATCAGGGTAAACTTTCAAGCTCAAATTTATCTTAAAATAACAAACAAACAAATAGATTCCACCACTTCCCCAAAGATTCTTAGTCCTCAACAACAGGCAAAGCAACTGCAAATTATTTTATCCTCCGCCCAGGACATTTTTGCACTGGTTTAAGAGAAAGAGGAAGGAAGAGAGGGAGACAGAGAAACTTCGATGTAAGAGATAAACATCAGTCCATTGCTTCCCATAGATGTTGGAACCGGGACTGCACCAACAACCTAGGTATGTGTCCTGACCGGGGATTGAACCCACAACCTTTCAGTTTATGGGACAACACCCCAACAAACTGAGCCACACTGGCAAGGGCATAAATTATTGTTATTTTCTCAGAATACCAAATTATTTGTAAAGCATCATGAAACATATTTTCAATTCCATCACAGGAACTCTGAGCAAGTTTCCTGGGAGATTTTATTTTGCTTGTGTAATATAAAATGACAATTTTGGGTACATATGTCTATTTAAAAGACAAGTTTTCAAACTAAATATATTGTTTCTGATTTTTTCTATTAATAATAATAATAACACTTGTGCATTTACTTGTTTTCAGTTGGCTTACAAAAACATTATGCCAATCTCTCAAGGTTTAAAAACAGGAAAGAAAATTTCTTAAGATGTGAAGTTTATATCAATTTATTTTCATTAATTTGCACACTGGAAAAAGACCATTGTTATTCTAATTTATCAGGAAATACACCAGTCTTTCATGGAAATACAGCTAAAACCACTGACCTGCTGAGTAAAATCTAAATTCCACAGTGGTATTGAATGATAATTTTGAATATTAATTAAGCATTTTATACCAGATTCAGTGTTCTCAAATGTTAAATGATTATCTTTGTTTATCCCTGCCAAAACCCCACATTATTATTACTGCTTTACAATTAAGAAGACTGAGGCACAGGGTAATCAACTCCATGAACACCCTCATGAGTAAAAACAATAGAGTTGGGCAGTGAATCCAGACAGTCTAGCACCATAGGTGAGCTATTCCCTGCTACATTTTATCTTCTTATTAAGGGTTTTCATGATTTGTCTAGCTTATTGTCTCAGTCAACTATTGCTAGAAAAATGTATAAGCAATACCTCAAAAGATCCCGGGGTCATGCAGCAAATACGCATTTAGTTCTCAGATGTCTTTAGTCAGGTTGGGATGGACTGATTTAAATTGAACCTGTATAGGCTTGGTTCCAAGCCACAGGTTTAGTTCAGTTTTATGCCATATATCTCTCTTTATTTTTGGATCACATAATTTTATCTGGGTCACGTACATCAAGCCTAAGATCAGAACTTCCTGGTGCAGAGTGGGTGAGTGGAAGGTAAATGGGGACCAGGCATAAAAGGAAATAAGGAGCCAGGTGTGTCATTTTTTAAACAAACAAACAAACAAACAAAAAACAGTGAAAACAAATGGTTACCCAAAACCCCAACCTCGTGCTCTTGATGTGAATCTCATTGGTGACAGGTATGTCACATGGCCACTTCCAGCTTGGGAATCTGGGAATTTTAATATTTAGTTGGATATATTCTTTCCCCAGAAAAATTATGTTTATGTTAGCCAGAAAATAAAATAAAATTTACGTTGATAAGAATTTCATTTTCCTTTCATTTTCATAGAAAACAAGGCTCAGTAAGTATTCCCTGGTGTCTTCCCTTATTTGTCCAAGGTAGGTTGACTCAACTGTCATGGTCACATTTGACAGAAGAAATCTCTTATGCTTCAAGTGGCAGGAAACTTCCATATAAGGGGACCATCTATACCCTGAAGTCCAAAAGGAAACGAAGTTAAGGATACGAACAGATCGCAAAACCAGGAGGGCAAGAATACTAAAAGCTAGAATGTGGAGGCAGAATTGGAATGTCAAAGAGATAAATAAAGAGCAAGAATAAAAGAACAGTGTTGTTGGGATAGGCATTGCATAATCTAGTAGGAACATGACTGAAGGTTAGGATTAAATATGTAAAAGAAAACAAACTTATACTTGGGTTATGGCTCCTGAGAGGAAAGAATGTGAGCCCCCATTTCTCTAGATCTCTGCCTCTGGAAAATTTTCCAGCTGTAGTGCAGTGACCTAGAGTTCAGTCAGAATAAGGAAGTCTCTCTTATCTAAAGAGGCAGAGATCAGATTTCCAGACTTTTGAAGTGGTTGGAACCTGTGTGGCAGGGCATTAAAATAAGGATATGCAGAGGTCTTCAAGTTCATGTGTGGGTTCACCCCAAGTCCCTGCCTGAGAGCTGGAGAGTACAACCACAGGCACGGCCTTTTAGAGTTTTTTAATCCTCAGAGGTGAGACCCGAATAGAGGTATCAAACATGCCCAGACATACTGAGTAGATTGCCTTAACATTTCATAACATGTGAATCAAGCTGAATGATAAAGGCCATAGCCAGAGAAAGGCCCACTCTTTAAGCACTTTAACAAAACTTAAAAATCAAGTTCTAACAAGATTCTTGGAAAAGAGAATTAGGAGATTGAATCTTGCCACTTTAGAGTGGCTTGAGAAACATTAAGAGAAATTATGCAGTTTCAAGAACAAAAATAAAAAAATATTAAAGAAAAATGAACAGAACCCCCATGAACTTATAAGACAATATTGTGCAATTTAATATATATGGATTGGAGCCCCCAAAGAAAAATCAGACTATAATGTAGCAATGAAATATTTTTGAAAAATGATAGCTGGAAAACTTTGACCTACAATTTGAAGAAGATCAGGCAGCAGGAAG